TTATAACACAATTAAATAAATAATAATTAACACTTTTATAAGAAATCACTAAACAAATGAATACAGAATGAATAAAATTCTTATCACAACTCTTACAGTATTTAACGTATTTAAATGAAAATGTGTTTTTTGTTTGTTTAAAGTCTTAGGTTTGAAAATATTTTGAATACTTTACATATCATGTGCTTATGATTATATTTGTTTCTTAAACCGTTTCTTATGAAGAGGTGTTTCCCCTAGAGAAGTTTCCCCAAGAGAGGTTGCACTGTATAATAAAATTTTAAAATTCACTAAAAAACTGTTGAAACAATTGTCACAAAAAAACAAAAACTGTTGAAAACACAGATCCAGACATCAATAGTTGGCACACGAGGTAAATATGGCCGGTTTTTACCACAATTTGTGGTCGGATATGCCACAGATATTTCACGATCAACTAGATGTTATAGTGACCGATGCCATCATATATAACAATACAGCGGCACAAATGGGCGACTATTTACACGATACAATTGAGAATCGATTTTTGTCTTCGTGGTGCATAACACTGTTGGAAACACCACCACATGGAATGCCCATCACAGTTCCCTCAGGCCTCCATAGGTATCATTTTGAAAATGTTGTCTATTTTAACCACGTTATTGTGTTGAGCATGCGGGGCTGTGGAGACATAGATCCGGCCGACAAACTGTGTGGAGTGGAAATATCGGTGCCAAAGACTATACCAAACATAGGTAAAAAATTAAAAAATGAACGTAATGAGTTGGTCACCCTACCACCTATCCCAACACACCCACCAATCCTACCTGGCCATAGCCCACCCAACCCTATACAGGTAGAGCATGCGCTAAACGGGTCGGGCGTAGGCTTTGTCGGACGCATTGAGTTTCACAAGGAATTAGGCGCCGGCAGATACAGCACCGTATGGCCAGTGGAGGGCACCGACCGGTTGGGTCGAACAGTGCGTATGGCCTGCAAAGTGAGACGTCATACTGACCGACAGGGAGTCGTGAAAACACTGACTAACTATAGAGAGTTAGTCCAACAGTTGCGCTCACATCCAAACCTCGTCCATACGGTGGACATTGTGGACATACCCGACTCGCGGACCGGCTTTCCCTATGCCATGCGCTGCGAGTTTACTGAAATTTGCGACGGCGACCTACAGCGGGAGTGTGCGACATACAAGTACGGTATGCCGGAGCCGGTGGTGATTGAATGGGTGCGCCAGATCGCCGGTGCTATCCGTTTCCTACACGTCGAGCAACGAGTGGCGCATCTGGACGTCAAACCGCGCAATATTATGTACGTCGAGGCGTCGTATGGCCTGACCCGGGTGTACAAACTCCGGGATATTGAGTCGGCCGAACCGTTTCCGGCCAATCCCGCAGATGTCCAAATATGGAGATTCAAGCCGTACACGGGCTCCGCCGAGTGGACGGCACCGGAGGCATTGACAGAATGCCATTACTGGGCCAAACCGTGCGATGTGTACTCATTGGGGGCGTCGATAGCGCACTCATTGTTGGGTTGGCTCCGGTATAAACAGGCGGTGACACCAAAACAGTTGTTATTGGAGTTGTTTCGTAAAGTGAGCGCCGGTGAGGGCACCACATATGCGAACCCCATCAGCCCCGGTATGGCCGCACTTATCTCGCTTATGGTAGAAATGAACACTAAAATGCGGCCAACCATTCAGGAAGTGTGCGACAGCCCGGTGCTGATCAACCCAACCGGAATCCGCGCCCCGAACCCGGCAACCAAACCCCGTGCCCCCGGCCTCGGTGTTGGCAACAGTAAACCCCCGGTCCGCCCGACCCCACCCACCACTGCTTCCAAAAAGAAACCAAAGACACCTCAACTCTAATATTGATTATCAAATGAAATAAATATATTTGGGATTAACTTATTGTTTTTGTTTCATTTATTTGTTTTCCAAGTTATATAATACTGTATTTGTTCGTATGATCGGTCAATTAACTAGAGTCTAGTTACTAGACTATAGTGTACCTTGTTTATTTGAATAATCAACAAGCATTATCTTAACCCAAACACACACTATTTTATTTACATAAAACAATTGCAAATTTTACAATAAAACAAAATTTAAACAATTCATCAAAAACCTCAAAGTTATATGATATAATCCAACATAATTAACTCGTTACATATTCTCCAGGTCCAAGTGCGCAGGAGACTGAGCAAATTGGACCATCACCTAGTTATTACATCGCTTCAATCGTGGTAAATTGGGCTCACATTAACTGTATTATAACACAAAGTCTCGTCACAAATGAAAGCGATTACAGTATAGACTTTCCCGACTTTAGTCCCGACCACGAGAGCACCGGCGATACCATTACCCAGCATATGTGGAGGTGTCGGTGGACAACGAGGTCAGGGGTCGTACGCCCGACCGGTCCGACACGTGGGAACCCGTCTGGGATTATAAGGCGGCCGATGGCGTCAATGTGACCATTGATAGTGTTGTTGAGCTAACCCTATACTACTCTATGGGCCCGATGTCTGAGCAAATTGACCACGTGATTGTGCCCGTACCCCAATTGGTGATCAGGGGCTCAAATGGCCGTTCAGAGAGGGGTAGGTTTGTGGGAGGGTGGCTTATGTTTACGGTTAGCTGGCGAGAGGTTTTTATCTCGTAATTTTATTGAAATAATTGTGGTAATTAATAGTTTTGGTTTATTGTAGTTAATTTAAGGTATAGTATTAGATGTAGCCTAATAGTTTATAAATTATTTAATATGCGTTTACATTAATGAAAATATTTATGACAAATTAAAACTTTTGTGTTAAACTACTGTACTTTTAAGTACATGTTTATACTTTTTATATTTTAATGTTGAAAAATAAACATGATAGTAATTATTGTATTTAATTTATTCTTGCTAAACTATTATAATTATGTTTAAAATATTGGTATAATTGATAAGTCTTAGATTTCGTATAGATTTAATAGAGGTATCTTAACCAAATTAATTTTATAATTTAAGGTAACATTCCTAGGCACCAGAAACCAAGTTTCATAAAGATAGGATCATTGGTCTTTATACGGGAAATTTTTAAACCAAGTCAGTCGGAATTATTTTAAGAAATTTAGCTCAAAATATTTTACCAAAAAATAACTTATTTTGAAAGTAAAAATATTTTTGTAAAAGACATGTTTGGAGTTAGTATTTGGTTATTGGAATTCACTATTAGTTATTCGACAATAGATTAGAGCAGTAATCATGACATCAGTTATAACGGGAATCAAATGCAAACCGACCCAACACAGGCCGCCGATCGGGTCGACTACCGATAATTAAGTGGCCACAGTTCAGGCATCGGTCAGAGTTGGCCATTAAATATGATATGATTCTATACATTAGATGTTCACGATATTGGAAGAGTAGGGGTTTTTTTATTATCTCTACTATTGTTTGAGCATGGTCAATTTACATGCGATTTTAAGCGTCGGTAATCACAAAAAACAGACCCCTTCCCATAGGAATACATTATTTTGCCTGACTTGGTTTAAAAATTTCCCGTACTAAGACCAATTATCCAATCTTTATGAAACTTGGTTTCTGGTGCCTAGGAATGTTACCTTAAATTATAAAATTAATTTGGTTAAGATACCTCTATTAAATCTATACGAAATCTAAGACTTATTGATTATGCCAATATTATAATAGAAAAAATATAAAAATAAACAACATTTCAAACATTTATCAAAATCTGCGAAACAATTGTTACCAAAAATTAAAAACACTTTAAATCAAAATATTATAAAAGCAAAAACTACTGAAAACAACATTCAAAACATTGCAAACGAGCTAAATATGGCCACAAATTAACCTACAGGTTAGCGTTGCCAGATATACAGGAATGACCTGTATTATACAGGAATTAAGGAATTTTGCAGAGTACAGGAAGGTGTTATTCCTGTACATTAAACTATACAGGAATAAATATTTTATAAATAATGTTGAAATATTCAGATTTGCTTATAAAAACAGTCCTGTACACCTAATGTGCACCCAAAGTATGGGTTAATGCTATAAATCAAATGAATTTACACTCAATTGATTACATTATAAATATATTGTAAAGGAATACAAATTATCGCAAAAGGAAATTTTTTTAAAACTATAAATTTTGAGTAAATTTAATTTTTAAAAATAAAATACAGGAAAATACAGGAATTTTAGGTACATTTTTACTTATATACAGGATATCCAAAATATTTTCTGGCAACGCTACTACAAGTGCCGGACAGGCATATCTATACAGAAGATAGCGGTGGGCTCTATCGGGTCAATTGAATTTGGGCAACAATTAGGCGCAGGCACATTTGGCGCCGTATGGCAAGTGACGGGCACCGACCGGTTGTATTTGCATTGTATTTAAACAATAGTTTTTATAAATAATAACAAACATAATAAAATTTTAAAATTCACTCAAAAACTGTTGAAACAATTGTCACAAAAAACAAAAACTATTGAAAACAGAGAAACTCATTTATATTATTAACAGTGATATATTTTAATCCGGGTCCTTTTTATTCCGTGAGTACCGCCTCTTTCTGCCCCCTCATTGACTGAACCCATACATTACGTTCAGTACACACCCACAATATTATCCAATAATAAAGACACACGGAATAAAAAGGACCCGGATTAAAATATATCGCTGTAAAACAAAACACAATTATTGCTATTACTCTACAAAATAACACTTTTAATTTAAAGTAAAAATTTATAACTAAAATAAATGTTAACTTTTATCAGAAGACACACCGAGTTTAAACACTGGGTATACTTCGCCGTATCGGTGATACTGGTCGTGGCGTTTGTCATATATCTAAGCCATGTCTACACCGATGATCACTCATATTTAGGTCCTGCTCATAATTAAGCCAAAAACAGACTATGATACGACCAATAATTAAGCCTAGCTGCAGGATTACTAGTTGCAAATTCATGCTTAATTTTAAATGCATGTACAGTATATGCTTGAATATAAATACACATAGGTGATAATTAAATGTGAAAAAAAAGTTTGAAAAAAGTGACGAGGCGGTGGTGATCGCTTAAATAGTTTTAAGCATTTGCAACATTCAAGCATTTTGCATGATTACATTTATGCATTTTTTTGATGCAGGATTGTTACTCTGTATTAATTATTACAGTGATGAGTCCAACAATGTATACTACTTGAGCACCAGCACCGGCAACAACACTTCCCAGTTCACCGTAACCAACTTGACAAGTAAACTATACATATAACCCAAACCTATTAACTCATTACATATTCACCAGGTCCAGGTGCTCACGAGACTGAGCAAACAGGACTACTACCTAGTTATTACATCGCTTCAATCGTGGTAAATCGGGCTCACATTAACCGTATTATAACACAAAGTGTTGCCACAAATGAAACCGATTACAGTATAGACTTTCCCGACTTTGGTCCCGACCACGAGAGCACCGGCGATACCATTACCTCAGCCTATGTGGAGGTATCGGTGGACAACGAGGTCAAGGGTCGTACGCCCGACCGGTCCAACACGTGGGAACCCGTCTGGGATTATAAGGCGGCCGATGGCGTCAATGTGACCATTGATAGTGTTGTTGAGCTAACCCTATACTACTCTATGGGCCCGATGTCTGAGCAAATTGACCACGTGATTGTGCCCGTACGCCAATTAGTGATCAGGGGCTCAAATGGCCGCTCAGAGAGGGGTAGGTTTGTGGGAGGGTGGCTCATGTTTACAGTGAGCTTGCGCGAGGTTTTTAACTCGTAATTTTATTGAAATAATTGCGGTAATTAATAGTTTTGGTTTATTGTAGTTAATTTATAATTTTGGATGTATTGTAGCCTAATAGTTTATAAATAATTTAATATGCGTTTACATTAATTAAAATATTTATGACAAATTAAAACTTATGTGTTAAACAAATTTTAAGTAAATGTTTACATGTTTGTACTTTTTACATTTTTATGTTAAAAAATGAAAATGATAATAATTATATATGATTTATTCTTGCTAAACTAACTTATAGCAAGTTATATTATACACAAATATTGTTTAAAATATAACAACAAAAAATAAAAAAGTAAAAATAAACAATATTTTAAACATTTTGTCGAAATCTGCGAAAATAATTGTTGCCAAAAATAAAAAACACTTTAAATCAAAATATTATAAAAACAAAAACTACTGAAAACAACACTCAAAACATTGCAAACGAGCTAAATATGGCCACAAATCAAGCTACAGGTGCCGGACAGGCATTATCGCAGACTGAGCTCGAGCACGTACAGAAGCTAGCGGTGGGCTCTATCGGGTCAATTCAATTTGGCCAAAAGCTAGGCGCGGGTAAATTTGGCACGGTATGGCAAGTGACGGGCACCGACCGGTTAAGCCGCACACGGCATATGGCGTGCAAAGTGAATTGTTTTGACGGCCGCAAACCGCCACCGCCAAGGAGGTAATCAAAGCGAACACACAGGGGCTCCAGCGGCAGCCCCGGTATTCAAACATTGTCCAAACGGTGCACATCGCGGACATACCCGACCGGAGCAAAGACTCGCTCACGCATTGCTTGTTCACCGAGTTGTGCTCCGGGTGTCTATACGACGAGGTCTTCGCATATAACAAAGACAGAGATATGCCTGAGGCACATGAAAAAGTTCAATAATGTACAGTGCAATCTCTCCATAAGAAACGGGAAGATGCATAGCCAAAGTGTTTTTTATAGAGAGGGTTTCTTCAAAGGAGGTTCGAGTAAAAACTGTCTCATTTTTAATTAATGTTTGAAAGATTTTATTAATTATTGCAATTATTGAAAATAATCAGTAATTTTAATTTGGGTATAACTTTTTCCGTTTTGAATCAGATTTTCCCAATTCGCATTCCTCGTCAATTACCACTTTTTGTAACTTAATTTTTGAAACATTTGATTTGTTATTTAGTTTGTGTTTAATCACAATACAGTCGAAGATTGATGTTGTGAACAGAACGGGTTTTGGCATTCAGTTCATACCATCGATCTCTTCATAACAAGGATCATTGACTAAAATCAATTGAAGCCGATTTATTGATTCAAGATTACATTAAAAATCATTATTTAGTTAAATAATCTGTTATTTTTGCATTTAAGTGACTTAAGTGGTCGTTTAAATGCATTTCACTTAAATTATAGTAAAATGAGTATTCATCCGTTCATAGCATCGACAATATTACAACATAATGTCTATGCGGTGTGGGTTTTTGTTTTGAAGTTTGGTTTATATGATCGACAAGTTCACACCATCGATAGTTCATAGCAAAGATCGTCGACTCAAAGATCTTCATATTTAACTCCTTTTTCAATGTCTTTTAATACATTATATTCAGTCTTTAAATCATACGATTGTCGTTTTTGACACATTTTATAACACAATTAAATAAATAATAATTAACACTTTTATACGAAATCACTACCGTATTACCCCGCTTATAGGTGCATGCACTTATTAGTGAATTTCACAGATTTTGCATGTCACCAGAACTACCGCACCTATATCCAGATATAAGTGCACCCCTTGTGTAAAAATCACATATAAGTGTACCAAAATTTATTAAATAGATTAATGAGAAAATGGTATATTATCTATATTTAGATATTTAATAATTTAAAGTAAACCTTTATTTTAATTTCTTTCTTTGTTTTGTCACACTTTGGTCAATGATTTTTTCATTTATATCCATTTATTCACTGATTAGTTGAATTGACTCATTAGTAATGAATCATCACTAAAGCAGAGATAATTCAGGAATTCCCGATTAAAACTAGTTAACAAAATGTTCGGGAGTAACATCCAGTTGGTTTTAGAGATTATAATGGCGTAAAAATATACCATTTTTATTAATAAATTTGATTAAACTAATAAACTTTTATCAAATATTAATAATAAAATCATTTTGAAATAGATAATTTTTCTAATAAAAAGCCAACACCTCAATTGCGTATATAATATTTTAATTTTAATAATAAGTTTTATGAAATTAATAGAACTTTATCAAATATTACTATTAGAATCATTTTAACACAGATAATATTGCTAACGATAAGCCAACACCTCAATTGCGTATATAATGTCTCAATTTTATTAATAAGTTTTATTAAACTAATAGAATTTTATCAAATATTAATAATATACTGAAATCATTTTGAAATAGATAATATTGCTAACGAAAAGCCAACACCTCAATTGCGTATATAATGTCACAATTTTATTAATAAGTTTCATAAAACTAATAGAATTTTATCAAATATTAATAATAAAATCATTTTGAAATAGATAATATCGCTAATGAAAAGCCAACACCTCAATTGCGCATATAATGTCTCACTTTTATTAATACGGTTTATTTAACTAACAGAATTTTATCAAATTATAATACTGAAATCATTTTGAAATAGATAATATTGCTAACGAAAAGCCAACACCTCAATTGCGTATATAATGTCTCAATTTTATTAATAACTTTTATTTAACTAACAGAATTTTATCAAATTATAATACTTATTGCGTATATAATGTCTCAATTTTATTAATAAGTTTTATTAAACTAATAGAATTTTATCAAATATTAATAATAAAATTATTTTTACATAGATAATATTGCTAACGAAAAACCAACACCTCAATTGCGTATATAATGTTACAATTTTATTAATAAGTTTTATTAAACTCTTACAGTTCTTATTTAGAAGTTATTTAATGATCCATTCATTTGTAATCATTTATGTTTTAACCGTAATTTTCCAGTACTTTCTTTATTCGTTTGAATTTGTATTTCCTTTTCCTTTGTAACGCATTTCACTCATAGCTCTAACGCTATTTTTAATCAGTCTTTGTTTAGTCACTCAACTGTTCAGTTGGATATCTCATTGACTCCAATCAGAAGATGATTGTAATTATCACTAAACTCTTTGTCTAATTCCCCGACTGTCCAGTCCTTCCTCTCATTTAGATCTTGAATGCAATCATTTATTGTTCAATAAATTGTGATTAGTTTTGATTCAGTTGTTGTTATCATTCACTCAGTCATTGCAAATAGACTGAGAGATCATTAAGTCCTAAACCACTCGAATCGGTGATCAATCAGGTCTAAGACTGACGACGAACTGAACTGTTCAGTCGTTGAGTCTTATCACTGCACGTTTGATCCCCGACTCACACAGTTGTGGCCAGTATTAAGACTGACTGTTGCACTGTTCGGTGAAACAGTTCAGTTCCCGATACGGTTGTACGGCCTGTCCGGGCCTCTCAACCCCACAACAAGCGGCGCCATCGGTTAAATAGTGTTTACCGTCTACACCTACAAAAGCCGTGATATAACAATACTAATAGAATTCTATCAAATATTAATAATAAAATTATTTTTACATAGATAATATCGCTAACGACAAGCCAACACCTCACTTGCGTATATAATGTCTCAATTTTATTAATAACTTTTATTTAACTAATAGAATTTTATCAAATATTAATAAAATTGAGACATTATTCTGAAATCATTTTGACATAGATAATATTGCTACCGAAAAGCCAACACCTCAATTGGGTATATAATGTTACAATTTTAATATTAAAGTTTATTTAACTAACAGAAGTTTATCAAACTATATTACTGAAATCATTTAGAAATAGATAATGTTGCTAACGAAAAGCCAACACCTCAATTGCGTATATATTGTCACAATTTTATTAATAAGTTTCATAAAATTAATAGAATTTTATCAAATATTAATAATAAAATCATTTTGAAATAGATAATATCGCTAACGAAAAGCCAACACCTCAATTGCGTATATAATGTCTCAATTTTATTAATAAGTTTTATTAAACTAACAGAATTTTATCAAATTATAATCCTGAAATCATTTTGACATAGATAATATCGCTAACGAAAAGCCAACACCTCAATTGCGTATATAATGTTACAATTTTAATATTAAAGTTTATTTAACTAACAGAATTTTATCAAATTATAATACTGAATTTATTTAACTAACAGAATTTTATCAAATTATGATACTGAAATCATTTTGAAATAGATAATATCGCTAATAAAAAGCCAACACCTCAATTTCGTATATAATGTCTCAATTTTATTAATAAGTTTAATTAAACTAATAGAATTTTATCAAATATTAATAATAAAATTATTTTGACATAAATAATATTGCTACCGAAAAGCCAACACCTCAAGTGCGTATATAATGTCTCAATTTTATTAATAAGTTTTATTAAACTAATAGAATTTTATCAAATATTAATAATAAAGTTATTTTGACATAGATAATATCGCTAACGAAAAGCCAACACCTCAATTGCGTATATAATGTCTCAATTTTATTAATAAGTTTTATTAAACTAACAGAATTTTATCAAATTATAATACTGAAATCATTTTGACATAGATAATATCGCTAACGAAAAGCCAACACCTCAATTGGGTATATAATGTTACAATTTTAATATTAAAGTTTATTTAACTAACAGAATTTTATCAAATTATAATACTGTAATCATTTTAAAACAGATAATATTGCTACCGAAAAGCCAACACCTCAATTGCGTATATAATGTCTCAATTTTATTAATAAGTTTTATTAAACTAATAGAATTTTATCAAATATTAATAATAAAATTATTTTGACATAGATAATATCGCTAACGAAAAGCCAACACCTCAATTGGGTATATAATGTCTCAATTTTATTAATAAGTTTTATTAACCCTAGACCACAACAGACTGAACGATATTGCACTTTTCATTTTCAAACTCTCAGTAAAAATCAGTCTTAAGGATCAGCTCTAAAAAATTCCAGGAATGCCTCAATCAAACATTTGAAACAATTGTAGATAAATTAGATTTTGATTATCACATCTGGTGTCCGAGTAATTGATTTTTAAAGAGAGGTCACTTACAAAATCCGTCCAGTGTTGTAAACTTGCAACTTTTTAGACTCTTAACAAATCAGTGCTTTTTCTGGAGAGCGGAGCAGTGAATGCAGTGTCATATGGGAAGGTTCGTGATGGAGAGGCGAAGTGACATAATTGAAACACTTTTGCGTTAGTTTTGATTCGTCTGCAGCCATGTGTCGATACGTATCGCATGGGAGGCGAAGTGATAGCGAGATACGATAACACCGCAACTGCAACGACACGTGACTCCATAAAGTTCAAGCAGTAGTAAAAAGTTTAATCAATACAACACTGGTACGATATCGTATTAGTGCAGCTACTGCCACCGCTATGCATTGATAGTTGTGTGTGTTGAGTGTTATGTATAATACAACACTGGTACGATATCGTACCAGTGCAGCTACTGCCACCGCTATGCATTGATAGTTGTGTGTGTTGAGTGCTATGTATTGAGTGCTTGTATTATGTATTGAGTATTAGAGTTCACAATACAGATGTAGTGTAACACAACACTAACGTTATGAAACGCTCATTATCATACATACACATATTATATAGATAGGTACAGACATCTAACATTTTTTGATTACGTTACACTTGACACTTTGTTTATATTATGTGAAACAACACAACACAAAGTATACAAACATAGTTTCAATCGTTATGTAAACCCCATATTTTTTATTTAAATAAGAAATATGGGGTTGTATTTTAAAAACCATTAAATTTGGGCATTGAATTTGGACTATGGGTTAGGACTGGGCTTATGGTGTGGACTATTGTTGGGAGTACGGCTTTATACCTTTATAAACATATCGATGCATGTCTGTACATTTAAAATAACTAATGCAATTTGAGCCATGAAACAAATACAGTAGACTTACACTATGTTTCATATGTTTGAGAGTTATAGTAAAATCAACTAATATCTGCTGTGTATAATATATCTATGCATGTCTGTACATTTTAAATAACTAATGCAGTGTGAGTTATGAAACAAATACAGTAGACTTACGTTATGTTTCATATGTTTGAATTTTATAGTAAAATAAACTAACTTATATTGTGTATAATATATCG